GAAAATAATATTGTAATCTGAATAAACATTCATTTATATTTGGTTTCTGTTTTTATTCATTTTCCAAAGTAGCACTTTTAAGAAAATAATTACAGAAGTTAAACAGTTTTTCAAATGATTCCAAATGTTGTCTTTTCCAAGAAACAAAAATCTTTGATTGTGAAATATCTATGTTTAACAATTCAAATGCAACTTCTAACATAGAAAAAAGTATATCATATCTTGGCAATTATTAATAATATAACTGGCTGTTTCTTAAAAATAGTGATGTTCAATAAATTCCATTAAGATGTTTCATTAACTGGAATTTCCTATTAACTATGCTGTGTATTCTATGGAAATCCTTACAATAACCTGGAGTGACCTCTAAATCATCAGGAAAAAACTAACATTATATTCGGTTTAATTTTAATGCTAATCATGTTTTACAGAACACCAATGTTCTTTACTCATTCATTTAAAGATTTTTATAACACTAGAATATCTGATGATCTGAAACACTTCATACCCCAAGCAATAATTAGAGTAACGAAGATAAGAACTTGTAACTGGAAAATTGGAATGAATACTGTTGCTCATTTTAGAGGTTTTCAGAACATCCAAAACCTAAAATAATTAGTTGTTAGAGTAAAAAAAACTGACAAAAATCTTATCTTAAACATATTTTAGAGCCAGTTCTTATTTAAAACACAACTAAAAAAGGCCCTTCCAAAAATCTCCTTAATCCTGTCTATGTTTTATCCTCTGCATATTTTTTTCACAGAACTCTGCCTGCTGGTCTAATTCTCAATGAAGCAGCTGCTTATTACAAAGAATGTCGCAATGGTTACATCAAGAAAATGTATGAGGATTAACAAAACAGAGTTTAATATATATCTCTGATTGTGAACTATCTATGTTTAACAATTCAAATATAACTTCTAACATAGCAAACTCCATTAAAAACTTGTAAGAACTATCACGGAATCCACAGCTTAATGGTGCTAGACATGAGAACAAACATATGGATAGAAACAATGGGTAAAATATAAAAAGAGAAAACTCAGTTTTTTTCTAAGTTTCTTTTCTTAACAGTTATTTTTGTTTTTTAAAAATTTGTTGAATAAACATTCTTAAAGACC